TTTAAAAATCCCTTTTTTATTTTGATATAATAATAGATTCATTGGATACTGCTTGAAACAGATGTATAAGGATATCTCATGTACTTGTCACACACTTTTCCCCACTAGCAACATTTCGCATAAATATTCCTCATCAAAACTAGGGAGATTCACACTGGTCCAGCCCTAAAGTGTTTCTTCACATTTCTCCAGTTTATCATATACTTCTCTGTGGGTGTATGTGTGGCTTTATACTTCTGTGCGATTTTATTTCTTGTGTGGATTCATTTATCATCACTACAGTCCAGATACTGACACATAGCTGAGCCTCCTGCGGGTTTGAGAGTCAGTTAATCGGATGGGAAGAGACTGCCCGTCCTCCTCCCACGGAGCAGTTGATAGACTCAAACCGCGTGCCTTTGCGCATGCGCTCTCTCTTTCTTTATATAAATATAAATATTTCTATAAAATGCAATGAAATTATTACTTATTACAAGTGTTACTAATCCAAGTAAAAACCATCTCAATATAAGTTGGCATTTTTTTTTAAACCAAGGCCAACCTGACTGAGAGAAATTGAAATTAATCCATTTTATGCCTCCATGTTTATTCCGACTCTTATCAAACCCTGTATGACACAGTAGAACTGCTCCGTGGGGTGTCTCCACCTGTAACATTCATGGGAGCAGATCGTCAGATCTTTTCTTCCAGTTGTCACTGGTGCGTTCAAGCACCCAAGGGCTTTAATAAGCTCTGGGTTTTTCACAAACTGTGGTGTTCTCAACTACATTTTTCAACTTTAGTAGTCTAGGGACTTTCAGACGTTGTAGGAATTTAGTTACTTAACTGTCCTGTGTCCATGCATATATATCTAATAGCATATGTAGCAGTGGGCACAAGTATGTCAGAAATGATGAGGATGGCACACAGGATTGGACAGAGTTCAGATCTGTTGTTCATCAAGTCAATATGAGTGGTACTCAGACTTGATGATTCCTAACAATATCAACAGTCTTAAGAGACATTTAAGTTCTTATTCTCGTACTTAAAAAAATATCTTTTAAAATGAAATACTAGGCATTAGGAGATCACTGATTATATGAAATGCATTTTGATTTATTGGGTCCCTGCCATGTTTATTTTGCATAATTATTTTGACACTATATGTGATAGTTTTTAAAAAAACATTTTTGATTCTATGCTAATTATTATGTCCTTTAAAGCTGAAAGGGACCTAAGTCCAAAATAATTCTTGCACTACCATTGAATTGATTCCAACTCATAGCAGCTCTGAAGGATAGTGTAGAATTGCTGGGTAGAATTTCCAAGGCTGTAATCTTATTAGAAGGGAGTTATGGTGGCCTGGTGGGAAGGAATTGAGCTGCCAGCTCAAAGTTCTAATCCTGCAGCTGCTCTGCGGGAGAAAGATGGGTGCAGTTTACTGCTTCGGAAAATCTGCTTTGTGGTCAGCTGTGGGCCAGTTCTGACTCCACGACACATAGAGTGACAACACCAATCTCAACAGCAGCAGACTGTCACATCTTTCCATTGTGCAATGGTTCAGACTACTGACATTTTGGTTAACACCTGAGCTTTTAACCATTATACCATAAGGACACCTTGGAATGGAACTTAGAGATTGTGAAATACAAAATCCTTGGTTTAGTGATCTAAGTACAGAGGCCCAGAAGGAGAGTCTTAAACAGAATCCTGAGGTCTGGGTTGTTTTGTTGAGTTTGCATTAAATTTTACATTTAATTTAATTTTATTTTTTGTAATGTGATTTTACATTGAATTTTACATTTAAAAAATGAACGCAATGGCCTCTGTTTCTAGCAAGATATTTGGCCTTTTCATATTAACAGTAAATAGCTTCTGAAAAATTCCTCTTAGACTTTGCCTCTGATAACTTAGTTATCTTCTGTCCTGTTGGGTCTCTTAAGAATCTTTCTATGGCTTCTAGCTTGAACAAGAGTTGGAGCTATCTAGACGGTTATTGAATCAATCAGAAGGCAGCAGAGAAACACTGATGAACCAGGTAGGTCTATGTAAATTACTGCAGCATGTATTTGCGTTAAATCAGAATTGCATTTCTTCTGCCAAATGAAAAAGAAAAAGGAGGCCTAGAAAAGTATTTTCCTAATGAATTTACAGTAGCACACATCAGCAAAAGATGGAAATCTTTGTAGGAAGATTCGGAGAAATCTGGTACAAAACACAGGTACAACTTTCCACTGTGATAGTGCTATCTTGCTGTTTGCTGCTACAGCTGCCTCCTTATCTCTCACAGCGTGGGCAGTGCAGGTAGACTGGCTGTGTAAGATAAAAGTTCCCCAAGAGCGAAATTTTATGCCAGGAGGCCTGGAAGAGTGAAGAAGGAAAATACATAAAGTAGACCTTGACATACTGTAGTTCCTTTGAATGTGTCATTATTTTAGAGATGCTACCTACCCTCTTTCAGCCAAAGATAAAGCTACATTTTGGAGCATAACATTTTGCAACCCACTAGCCTGTAACAGGAGTTGGGCATGTCTGATATTTAAAGTTCTGTAAGTTTAAATAGATGTCTTGTTGTACATTCTGGTCGCCTAATGGTAAGAAGGTGCCCTGCAATCCCAAAGGTATGCAGTTTGAATCCACCAGCTACTCCAAGGGAGAAGAAGGGGCAATCTCCTCTGTTTGAGAGACTCCTAAAAACTCCCTAAAGGTTTAGCTATGGCTTGGCTCTGGCTCAATGGCACGCGACAATGACAGTGATCAATAAATAGGGCATCTGAACGTCTAATTTGCTTTTTGGCCATGTGTAATAGAAATAGCAGATGTGTCTTCTGCTGTTTGGAGGGGTGTGTGTGTGTGTGTGTGTGTGTGTGTGTGTGTGTCTAAATTCAGTTATGTAATATGCTTGGTAGGCAAAAGTGTCAGGTATCATTGATGTTCAGAAGGGTTATTATCTTTTGACAGTTGCTGTTGGAAATACACTGCACCACCTGTTTTACACAGGATTTAAAATTGTTCTTTGTCTTTGTTCTGGAGCCAGTGGCCACATGGAATGAATGCTGGCAGAATCCAGGCTTTCCTTTGTGGTGGCTTGTGTTTGTATGTGATTCTATTCTGATTATATTTTTTTTTCCCTGACACTGACATATAATCTCTGATTTCCGTTTTGGAAGCAAGGTATTTTTGTGGTTCCATTGGCATTGTGACTTTAGCTTGTCAGAATCAAGAAAGGAGGGCATCAGGGATATGTCCTTTCTCTATACCTTTTCAATCTCTATGAAAAACAGGTCAATTGGGAGCCTGGACTATGAAGAAGAATGTGGTATCAGGATTGGAGGAAGACTCATCAACAGCTTGCATTATGCAGATGATGCAACCTTACTTGCTGAAACTGAGGAGAACTTGAAGCATTTGCTGTAGAAGGTCAAGGACTGCAGTCTTCAATATCAGTTGAAGCTCAACATCAAGAAGAAAAAGATTGTCAACACTGGGGTAATTAGCAGCACCATGCTAGATGGAGAAGAGATTGAGGTTGTTAACAATTACAGCTTGCTTGCATCCACAATCAACATCTCTTGGCACCAGCAGTCAGGAAATCAAAGATGAGTTGTTTTGGGAAATTCTGCTCTCAGGGACCTCTCTGGAGTGCTATGGAGCAATGATGTCGGTCTAGAGACTAAGGTGCACCTTAAGGCATGCTGTGATCTTCTCAGTTACTTGTTGTGTATTAGAGAAGCTGGGCAGTGCCAAAGGATGGTGGAAGAAGAATCAGTACCTTTGAATTGTAGTGCTGAAGAAGTGTATTGATTATACCATGCCCTGCCAAGGGAACAAACAAGTCTGTTTTGGAGAAGGTAAAACCGGGTTGCTCCTTGGAGGCAAGAATTTTGAAGTTCCATCTCACATACTTAATATACTTTGGTAATATTGCCAGGAATGACCAGTCCTTGGAGAAGGGCATCATGTTTAAAAGGGTCAAGGGTGAGCACAGGAAAGTAAGACCCTGGATAAGGTGGATCAACACAGTGACTGTGGCAATGGGGGTAGGTCAGAGACTGTGAGATTGGCTAAGTAAAGGACAGAATTCAGAGCAGCTGTTCTTCGGATCACTATGAGTCATGGTCAACTCGACAGCACATAACAGCAAAACAACATACCTAGTCAAGGAAGCTGTTGTCTGACCAGAGCAAAGTAACAGTCCATAGTTTAAAAACTGGAAAGGTATGCATCAGGGCTATATCCTCTCTCCATACTAGTTTTATTTCTATGCTAACCAAAGTATTTGAGGATCTGTACTCTGTGAAGAAGTATGTGGCATCAGGACTGGAAGAAGGCTCTGCAGTGTGTGTTATGTAGATGATAACAGCTTTACTTGTTGAGAGGACTTGGAGCATTTTCTCAAAAAGGTCAATGACTACAGCCTTCAGTATGGATTATATCTCAATATCAAGGAAATGAAAATCCCCATGACTAGGCCAATAGGCAACATCATGATAAATGGAGAAAAGGTAGAAGTTGTCAATGATTTCATCTTAGTCAGGTCCAGGAAATCAAGATATATGTGGAATTGGAAAGTCTGCCATTAGGGACCTCTCCAAAGTGTTGAAGAGCCAGGATGTCAGTTTAAAGACTAAGGTGTGCCTGATTCAAGCCATGGTCTTTTCAGTTGCTTGCTATGCATCTGAATGTTGGATGAGTGAATAAAGATGACAGAAGAAGTATGTATGCCTTTAAGTTTTGGTGCTGGAGAAGGGCACTGCATATCTCATGGACTAGCAAAATAACAAACAAATATGTCCTGGATCGTGTGTAGTCAGGATGCTTTTTAAAGGGAAGAATGACGGAACTTCAACTCACAGAGTTTGATCCTGTTGTTAGGAGCAGCCTGTTCTTGGAGAAAGACATCATGGTTGCAAAAGTGGAGAGTCAGTGAAGGTGAGGAAGCCTCTCAGTGCGATGGATCTATGCAGGGACTGTAGCAATACGTTCTAGTTTGGCAGAGTTGATGAGGATAGCACAGAATAGGGCAGAATTCAGATCTAATGTTCATGGGGTTGCTTTGAGTCATATTCGACTTGACAGCACCTAATAACAAACTGTTTAACAGCCATTGAGAAAGTAAATGCTATGTACAAGTTAACATACTTTCTATGGAAATGCTGGATGAGGAGACAGTTCACTAACTCAAGGAGTTCATAATGTAGCCAACAACATTTACTTCTTTCTCTTCTGCATTCTAGTTTGTGAAAAAATCTTGCCCAGTCTTTGTCTACATCTTTTAGGTTCTGTTCCTGTGACACCATAATAATTTGGCTCAGATTTAAGTTGGAAACCTCTTTTATTTTTTTCCTTAGTTTCCATTATTACTGTTTTTTTAAGAATCAGTATATTCATAAATTCAATCTTTTTTGCAAGTGAAACTTTGAAAATGAAAACATGAGAAAATCATGCCAAAAATTATATGTCATTAATATTATTAGAGGAAGACTCATCAACCACCTGCAGTATGCAGATGACACACCTTGCTTGGTGAAACTGAGGAGGACCTGAAGTGCTTGCTGCAGAAAGTCAAAGATTGTAGTCTTCATTATGGATTGAAGCTCAACATCAAGAAGAAAAAGAGTTTCACCACTGGACTAGTTAGTAGCACCATGATAGGTAGAGTAGAGATTGAGTTTGTTACAATTCCAGCTTGCTTGGCTCCATAATTAACATAATTAACATAGTCCTGAGAACCAACGATGTCATTCTAGAGACTAAGGTGCACCTCATCCAGGCTTTCCAATTACTTGCTATCCATTGAAGAGTTGGACAGTGACTAAAGATGGCAGAAGAAGAACTGATGCCTTTGAGTTGTCGTGCTGAAGAGTATTGAACATATCATGGATCACCTAGAAAACAAACAGATCTATCTTGGAGAGGGTGAAACCATGGTGCTCCATGGAGGCTAGGATTTTGAAGGTCTATTTTACATAGGGAACGTGTACAAACGGTCATTACAAAGACAGAAGAGGGAGAAAAGACCAAAATGGATGTCAGAAGAAACTCTAAAGATTGCACTGGAGCATAGACAAGCCAAAGCACAAGGAAGAATTCAAGATACTAAAGAGCTGAACAGAAGATTCCAAAAGGCAGCACGGAATGACAAAGCAAAATATTACAATGAAATGTGCGAGGAACTAGAGTTGGAAAACCAAAAGAGCCGAACTTGTTGAGCATTTCTTAAGCTCAAGGAACTGAAGAATAAATTCAAACCTAGAGTTGCTATAATCAAGGATGCTTTAAGCAGAATATATAAATGATCCAGGAAGTATTAAAAGAAGATGGAAGGAATATACTGAGTCATTCTATCGAAAGGAATTGGCAGATGCAGAAGAATTTAATGAAATAATATATGAGCAAGAGCCTATGGTGATGAAGGAAGAAGTTGAAGCTGCTTTGAAGGAAATAGCAAAAACTAAGGCCCCAGGAATAGATGGTATACCAATTGACATATTTCAGCTAACAGATGCTGCCCTGGATGTGCTTACCAAGTTGTGCCAAGAAATCTGGAGAACAACCACTTGGCCAAAGATCTATATTTGTTCCCATTCCAAAGAAGGGTGACCCAACAGAGTGTGGAAACTACAGAACAATATCATTGATTTCACATGCAAGCAAGATTCTACTGAAGATAATCCAAAAATGACTGGAATAGCGCATCAGCAGAGAATTGCCGGAAGTCCAGGCTGGGTTTAGAAGGGGTCTTGATACTAGGGATATTGTAGCTGATGTTAGATGGATCTTGGTGAAAGCAGGGAATACCAGAAGAATGTTTATCTGTATTTCATTGATTACGCAAAGGCATTTGACTGTGTGGATCATAACAAACTGTGGCTGACTCTGAGAAGAATGGGAATTCCAAACATTTAATCGTGCTAATGCGAAACCTATACATGGACCAAGAGGCAGTTGTCAGAACAGAGCAGGGTAACGCTGCATGGTTCAAAATTGGGAAGGGTGTACGCCAGGGATGTATCCTATCTCCATACCTTTTCAACCTGTATGCAGAGCAGATTATTTGAGAGGCTGGTCTCTATGAGGAGAAGTGTGACGTCAGGATTGGTGGAAGATCTATTAACAAACTGCGTTATGCAGATGACACAACCCTGCTTGCTGAAACTGAGGAGGACCTCATGCACTTGCTGCAGAGGGTCAAGGACCACAGCCTTCAGTATGGACTGAGGCTCAATGTCAAGAAGACAAAGATTCTCACCACTGGACCAATTGGTAGCCTCAGGATGGATGGCGAAGAGATTGAGACTGTTCACAGCTTTAGTTTGCTCGGCTCCACAGTCAACACTCTTGGCACCAGCAGACAGGAAATAAAAAAAAGTATTGTGATGGGAAAGTCTACTGTTAGCGACCTCTCTAAAGTTCTCAAGAGCAGCGGTGTCACTCTGGAGACTAAGGTGTGTCTGATACAGGCCATGGTCTTTGCAGTCACTTGTTATGCATCAGAGAGTTGGACAATGACTATGGAGGATAGAAGGAGAATTGATGCCTTTGAGCTATGGTGCTGGAGAAGAGTATTGAATGTACCCTGGACTGCAAGAAAACAAACAGATTAATCCTGGAGAGGGTTAAGCCAGGCTACTCCTTGGAGGCAAGGATTCTGGGGCTTTGTCTGACATACTTTGGACATGTTGTAAGGAGGGCAGGTCCTTGGAGAGGGACATCATTCTTGGGAGGGTGGAGGGACAGCGCAGGAGGGGAAGACCCTCTTTGAGGTGGATTGATTCAGTGACTTGGGTAATCGGGATGGGTGTTTCAGAGGCAGTGCGATTGGCACAGGATAGAGCAGGATTTCTGGCTGTTGTACATAGGGTCGCTATGAGTCACAAATGACTCGACGGCACATAACAACAACACGTGGCCAGAAGGAACTGGTCCTTGGCGGAGGACAGCATGCTCAGAATAATGGACGGACAATGCAGGAGAAGAAGACCGTAGATGAGATGTACTGGCACAGTAAATGTAGGAGGGTAAGGGTGTCAGAGTTAGTAAGACTTGCTCAGGTTAGGGCAGGCTTCAGAGCTGTGAGTCGCTATGATTCGCAGGTGACTAGATGGCACTTAACAACAACAATCATGAAAGCGTATATATTCTTGCATGTGGTTCATATAACTCAAATGCGTTGTATGTTGGGGACTACCTGTAGTAGGCGATGTTCAGTGGGTAAAAAAAGTGAAAATATATAGTTTATAACTGGAAGTGAATTTGTGATGTTAATAATGGAGGTCTGTGTTGAGTAAAATGAAGTTAAATTGTTTTATTTTTTAAAAATGTGTTCACTTGTTATTTTTTTTTTTTCATAATGAACAATGAATAGGATAAGACATTCTTCATGGAGGGGATGGAAGGAATGAAGAAATGGAACGGGAGACAATTCTGCTGTCCTTGGCATAGTGGGGAGATTAGCTTGGCTTCTCCTTGTATTTATAGTAGCTCATGAGAAGTCATTTTTCTCCCCAAGAGAAAGAATTGGAAATGCTTTGTAAGTTGAGCTAATGTTTATCCTGCCTTTGAAAATGGTTAACAGTTTCATTTTTGACATTTTGTATTTAGATCGAAGAGCTACGGGCACAGTTACTAAAAGCAGAAGGTGATCGAAAGGGTTTACAACATCAAGTGTCTCAGATTTCCAGGCAGCAGTCCAGCCATCAGGAGGTGCAAGCCGATGACTGGAGGCTTAGGAGAGGTAAAATTCTGATTTGTAAATGTGCGGGTCTTTTAGAGTTTCTTAGAAAGTGTAACTCAGGTTGTGCAAGCTACTCCTGTGCTTGGCTGTTAACCAAAAGTTTATCAGTTTGCATCCTAAAAAGTCACCCATTGAAAGTTCTGTGGGTTTTATGTATGCGAGGTCACTGTGAGTCCAGAGCAGCTTAATTACAGCTGATTTTTGATTTCACACAGAAGGTTGTGCTGTTTTTCATCAGGTTCAGCATACTCTAACATTCAATTGTTTTATCATCTCTGCTTGCTTTCTAAGTTCTTTTCAATTAGCTCATCTCATTGGCCTTTTTCGTAGGAAGAACCAGTAAAGCCAATAGTGGATTATTTTCCTAGTTTGCTTTCATACCTTTATCTAACCGTGTGTGGCTGTGTGTTTTTTCTTATTTTAGATTGCATATATCTCTATGGTTTTTAACTTGTTCTTATTTCAATTTTCAATACATATGAATAGTCAAAATTACGGACCTGTCTTTTTATTTTTGTTATCTGGAAATTAGTAGCAAGTAGTAATCACCTCCCAGAGGTAGTCGTGGATCTTTGAGCAATCTGACTGGCGTTTTCTTATATGGATTGGGAAAGGTTTGTTTGTCCAGTTAGAATCCTGCCCAGTGGACATCTTAATTTTGATTATGAAATTTAATGACTTGGCCTTTATTTTTTTCTAAAAGTTCAGGTTTATAAAAAACTATGATAGTTACTAAGGAATAATGATTTTATAAAATACTATAGATCATAAGGGACTCCTGATTCAGGCCATACTCTTCACGGTTGCTTGCTATGTGTTAGAAAGCTGGACAATGACTAGGGATGATAGAAGAATTGATGCCTTTGAGCTGTGGTGCTAGAGAAGAGTCTGGAATATACCATGGACTGCTAGGAGAACAAACAGGTTCATCCTGGAGTGTGAAACCAGGTTGCTCCTTGGATGCAAGGATTCTGAGGCCTTATCTGACATACTTTGGGCATGCTTGGGAGGTTGGAGGGACAGCACAAGAGAGGAAGACCCTTGATGAGATGTATTGATTCAGTAACTAGACAATGAGGATAGGCATGTCAGAGACAGTAAGGTTGGCACAGAATAGAGCAGGTTTCAGGACTGTTGTATATAGGGTCGTTATGAGTCACAAGTGACTTGATGTCACACAGCAACAACAACAACATATAACATGGTATAGTATGGACAGCATTATGCTGAGTGAGCAAACTCAGCCTCATGTATAAGACCAAATACTGCAATAAGACCATTATTATAAAAATATAAGATTTTTATAGGATGTGTATAAATGTTCAAAAGAGGAAGGGGATAAGAGGAAAGGGGCAGAAAAAGGGGAAGGATGGAAATCTTTAGGATAACAGAGTTTAGTGGACAGATTTGGGGAAGGAGGAAAGTATGGGAAAGATTAAATGAGAATTTGAACAGATGGTGTAATAATAGGCATAGACCAATGGTAATTACATAAAATACAGTGTATATGAATGATTATATGAAACACAATGCAAATAAGGGATTGGATGGAACACAATTTATATGAATGAAACATAATGCAAATGAGTTATTCTATGAGATCCAAGAAAAAGAATTATATAACAACTGATGATATTCAGATTGTATTAATTGTCATTGTTAAGTTTCGTCGAGTCGTAGGCGACTCATAGCGACCCTGTGAACGAAAGTCCTTGACAGTTGAGTGACTCTCATCCTTTCTCCATGTTCGTAGGGTTTCCCCGAGGCAAGCTATTTACAGAAGTGGATGCCACTCCTGCTTCCAAGCTTGTTTAAGCTGGGGAGTCCCACCAAACACTGTCCCCCATGGGTAACCAGTTTCTAATAATGCTCATCCCAGTAAGAGCTCTATTTGCATAGCACATCATGTGTCAGGCCACGATCCACAAGGTCATTGGTACAAATGCACCAGGTTTTCTGTGGACAAAAGACAGGCATTCTTCTCTGTGAAGATTGACAGCTTTGGTAACCCTGTGGAGTGTTACTATGAGCTGGATCCAGCCTGGTGGGCTTAAGAAGCTCTTACCATAGTCCATAAGGAGTAGTGCTGGTAAACCCAAGGCTATTCATATCCCATAATTTGAATCTGTCACAGATTCTATGAGAGAAAGATTGGCAGTCCCCTCCCATATTAAGATTTATAGACTCAAAAACCTGGGGGAGAGTTGTTTTCTGTCTGACTGCACTGACTCAACAGCACTGAGTTTAATGAATCTAGATTGCTCAACTTAGAAATCATTTCAGGAATCAAACTTCTTACTTGAATGCCCAAATTAATGGAGACATTCCTGGAAGCTGTACGGTCTTCTGTTCCCTTTAGGGAAGGGAACTATTCTCAATGTTTCCTTCCCCACACATCACTGCATATGTTACAAGATGTAGAATTTCCATATTGCCAGAATATGTTGGGAAATGGCAAGAGTGATCCTAATATAGTCTCTTAAATTTAATTAACTTTTGTATTGAAATGAAATGCCATTTGATCTTTTTTCCTGTTTAATTTTAAAACTTAAAATCCCAAGTTTTCAGACTATTTTTAAAATTTTCATCATGTTTGTGGGAAATCTCATTTTGTTGGAAAAAAGATATCTGTGACACATCTCTCATGTTTTGAAGCTTTAAAACATAAATTAGATTTTTATTAGTAAAATCTAATTATTTTTGGTAGACATCTTTGAAGATTAGGAGACGTTTCACTTTTCTTTACAATTTACTGTGTTTTAAAAAAATGTCTTTGGAAATTATTTTTTCAGTGTGATAATAGACAATTCTAGATTATTTTCATCTTTCTAAGGTTCTAGAGTTATTTAAAAACAATTCTGCACTCATTGCCACACTCCAGTTGATGCTTATTTCTCTGCCCACTGAAAAATGCCTTCTGAAATTGACCTTCCTTGGATTACATGCAGATCCCTCAGCTAGTCAAGGGGTGGTTTCCATTGCTTATCTTATTTGTTTCCTGTTTATTTCCTCTTCCTTCTTGAAAGACTTCCCTGATTTTCGTTCCACCCCTCTGTTCTTGGCTCTTTTGCCATACATGCCATTCATGCTTCTTACTGGAATCTTCTTCCCTTTGTTTATTTTTCTTGTAAACTGGTATTTTCTAGGATCCCCATACAGTCCCATAGGACTAGACTAGGGCTTGCTATATCATTTTAGGTGATGGCTAACATCACCTAGATATGATGAGTCCTAATTAGAATTTGACTTTCCCTCCTGACTTTCTACCCTGTAGGTACACTCTTGCTCACTAGACACCTCTATGTGTGGCCCCACAGAATGTTTAGTCAGCATAGTATCTAAAAGTGAATTTGTCTTCCCCTCAAAACCTCCCTCTTTCTTCTTTCAATTAGTGACATTCATCCTCTGTTCAGACATCCAAACCTAAAACATGAAAGAAATCCAAAATGTTTTTTGTTTTCATCTAGTTAGTTTATATATGTATTGCCCATTTATAGGGAAATGATATTTCTTTAATGGTCCCATCTACTTTCTTCTTAGTTTCAGGATGTCAGCTGTTTCATCTCACCTATACAGTCTTGTACTTGCTGTGCTTTATTTTGCCTTCTCGATAATCCGTCTTCCATACTGCTTCTAAAGGGACTTTGCTGAAACACAAACTGATCGTGTTATCCTTTTGGGTAAAGCCTTTCATTACAATTTATTGAATTCTTACTACTTACCAGGCATTATGTTAATCCTTTTTCATTATCTCCTTTAATTCTTACAACTACTCTATGAGAAGGGTAATATTCTTATTTCTATTTTAATGATTTAAATGAAAGACTAAGGAACAAAGAGATTGACTAACTTCCCCAACATCGTGCATGTGAGAAGTCGCAAACCCAGATCTTTCCTCCCCGAATAGCTGAGTTTTTAATGCTACTACCCTGTATTGCCTCAGCAGCCTAGTGATCAGGAATTGTGCTACCAACTCAAAGGCATGTGGTTCAAATCAATCAGCTTCTCCATGGGAGAAACATAGCGGTCTCATCTGATTCGATTTCTATCCCTTGAAAACCTGCCAGAACCCAAGCTATGAGTTGGTTCCAGCTTGATGGCACCTAACAACAACAGCAGTCCTATACTGCCACCACTCATCTGTCAGTTTGTCACACTGTGATAGTGGAAGCCACGCTGGCAGTATTAAATATGAGCATGGTTACCCATCGGTGGACAGGTGTCAGCAGAATTTCCAGGCTAAGACAGACTAAGAAGCAGGACTGGCCATCTACTGGTGAAGTAACAGGGCTTCTAAAACCCTATAAATAGCAGCAGAGCATAATCTTATATCGTGACTGAAAATGAGCCCCTCAGATTGGAAGGCACTCACACTATGATTCGAGAAGATCTGTCTCCTTGAAACAGAATCTGCTTTAATGATGAGGATGGAGTAGGTTTTACTCAATGAAAAACCTTCATTTGTTCATATGGCAAAACTCAAAATGAAGAGAAAAAATGGCGAACAAAGAACGGTTGGAATTTGGAGTGTGCTAAGTTTTGCATCTAGGAAAAATAAAATTGTTAAAAATGAAATTGAGCACATCTACTTTCATATTAGTGAACTGAGCTTGACGAGTGTGAGCCATTTTGAGTATGACAGTCATATTCTCTTCTGTGCTGGGATTGGTAAATTGAAAAGTAAAGAAGCCACGTTCATTGTCAGAAAGATCCTTTCAAGATCTTCTCTGAGATATAATCCCACCAGTCATAGAATAGTAACCATACACATAAAAGGAAGACATTAATATAACTGCTGCTCAAACATGCACGCTAGCCACAAAAGCCAGATATTAGTATACTGAATATTTCTGAAAACTTAGGCATCTAAAATTGATCAAACATGTAATTATGATGGATTAATAATAACTGGCGACTGGAAAGCAGAAGTCTGAAACAAAGAAAAATTGGTAGTTGGAAAGTATGGTCTTGGTGACAGCAGTGAGGCTGGAGATAGCATGATAGAGTTTTGTACAGTCAATGACTTATTCATTGTAAACATCTCTCTTTAAAAGAGCAACTATACACATGGACTTCATCTGATAGAATACATAAAAATCAGAGTGGATACGTCCGTGGAAAGGGATTATTGAAAAACTCATTATCACTAGTCAGAACAAGCCCAGGAATCAAATTGCCCTTCTTCCCTTGAGCTGCTTGCTGTCATTTCACAGCTGATTCATGGCTGACTCTCTAGTGGGTTTTTGGAGGCTGTAAATCACAAAGGAAGAGTTTGCCCTGCCTTCTTTCTGAGGAGCTGCTGGTGATTTGAACTGGCTGCCTTTAAGTTAGCAGCCCAACTCGATGAGGGCCAGACCTCTTCAACTGTTTCTAAGAAATTAAAATTGAAGCTAAATAAAATGTACACAAGCTCACAAAAGCCTAAATAAGACTTTGAGTTTATCTCATTTAAATTTAGAAACCATCTCAAGAATAGTTTTTTTGTGTTGCATTGTTGGTTTTTTTTAAAGTGGTCAACAGTTTTATTTTGCTTGGATCCATAATCAAACCCATGGTGGCGGCAGCCAAGAAATCAAAAGAGGTGTTGCTTTGGCAAAATCTGCTGTTAAGCACCTCTCCAAAGTGCCAAAGAGCAGCAATGGCAAGAATAATTGTGATACATTGAACACTAATGACCACAGACCAGATGAGCGGTGGGCTGATGTAAGGCCGTTTTCCATGAGGGAAGTGAAAAGTCATTAAAAGGACAGCGAAGAAAGACCCAAGTGGAAGTTAGAGTAGACCCTTCTACCTGCTTTTCAATACTGTTAACTGGAATTCATCCTGAGCCAACTTTACGGTCTCTGACACACCTACCCTCATTACCCCAGTCACTGAAGCAACACATCTCATAGAGGGTCTTCTTCTCTTGTAGAGAAGTCAAAACAAAGGGAAGAAATTATAAAGTAAGAGATCTGAACCGAAGATTTTGAAAGATTGAGAAGACTAAGTGAAGTATGTTAACGAAACATGAAAAGATCTGGGGTTGGAAAGCCAAAAGGGGATTCCCACGCTCAGCCTTTGTCATGGTTGAAGAACTGAAGAACAAATTCAAGTTTCATTTTTAATACTGAAGGATTCTATGGGCAAAATATTTTTTCCATATTTCTACTGGTTTGCATAGAGTCCTTTATATGCACTGTGTTTCATGCATTTTACATTATTTATACAATTTTTAATTTATTTACATTGTGTTTTGTTCATGAACATTGTGTTTTATACAATCATGCATACATCGTATATTTATATCATGAATTTTATTTATCTGTGCCTGTTATCATCCCGTCTTTTAAAGTCCTCATTGAATCTTTCCTTTTCCCTTGCTCCCTCCCCACTCTCCCACTAATCTCTGCTATCCTAGTGATTTCCAGCACCTTCTTTCTTTCCTTTCCCCCTTTTGAAAGTTTATGCACATCTTGCTCAGTTATCTTTCTGGTTTTAGAATAATGGTCGTAGGTGGTTTTTGTCCTTATGAGACTGAGTTAGTTCACTCCGCATAATGCTCTCTAGACTCTCTCATGTTACTCAGTATTTTATGAAATCGTTTTTTCTTAGTGATGCATAGTATTCCATTGTGTGAACCTATTACAGTTTCTCAATCCATTTGTTTGTTGATCGATGTTTGTTTCCATATTCTTGCTATTGTGAATAATAACACTATGAACGTTGGTGTACACATCTCCATTCATGTCTCTGTTCTGTTTTCCTTGGGGTATAGTTGGGTCATATGGGATTTCCATGTTCAGCTTTTTGAGAAAATGTCGAACTGCCTTCCAGAATGTTGTACCACTTTATAGTCCTACCAACAGTGCATGAGGGTTCCAATCTCTTCACATCCTCTCCAACCTTTATTGCTTACCGTCCTGTTAAAATTTGCTGCCGCTAGTGGGATGAGGTGGTATCACATTGTTGTTTTGGTTTGCATCTTTGTAATTGCCAGTGATTTTGAACATTTCTTTATGTGTCTGTCTGACCATCCAAATGTCTTCCTTTGTGAAAAGCCTTTTCAACTCTTTTGCCCATTGGAACAACAACAACATCTGATACTTCTCTAAATCTGAACATTCAGATTAAGGCAGAGTAGGAAGAAGGATTGGCCATCCAATTCTGAAATACCAGGCCTCTGAATACCCTATGTACAACAGAAAATCATGGTAGATGGAATACAAATTGATACTTTCAACAATTTTCTATTACTTGGTTCTGTAATTAATGCCCATGGCAGCAGCAGCAGTGAAGAAATCAAAAGATGTGCTGTCTTGGGAGAATCTGTCAAGGACCTTCTTAAAGTCCTTAAGATCAAGAATATCACTTTAAATACAAAAGTGCTCCTGATCCATGCAGTGATGTTTCTCACGTGGTTCATATGCACAGGAAGGTTGGGTAATGAGTAAGGAAGATTGAAGGAGAATGGATTCCTTTTAATGATGATGTTGCTGAAAGTACTGAACATGCCTGGCACTGCCAAAGGACAAAGAAATCAATCTTAGACATAGTACAACTAGAGTGCTCCGTAGAGGCAAAAATGGTGACATTTTACTTCACATATTTTGAACATGTTGTTAGGGGGCACCAATCCTTAGCAAAGGATGTCATGTTCGGGAAAGTAGAGGACAGCAAAAAAGAAGATAACTTACAAGTTAATGGATTGGCAATATAATAGCAGCAGTGAACTTGAACATGGTGAAGATTTTGTGAATGGCAAAGAGCAACAATGTCAGTCTGGAGACTAAGGAGTGCCTGATCTAGGCCATGGTCTTCACCATTACTTGCTATGCATCAGAAAGCTGGACAATGACTGGGATTGATAAAAGGAAAATGGATACCTTTAAGCTGTGGTGTTAGAGTCTTGACTATATCAGGGACTGCTAGGAGAACAAACAGGTTTGTCCTGGAGAGAGTGAAGCCAGGCTTCTCCTTGGAGGCAAGGATTCTGAAGCTCCGTTTGAAATACTTTTGACATGTTACAAGGAGGTACCATTCCTTGGAGAGGGACATCATGCGTGGTAAAGTGTAGGGACACACAAGAGAGGAAGACCCTTGATGAGATGGATTTACTTAGTGACCAGGATAATGGAGGTACGTGTGTCAGAGACAATGAGGTTGGCTCAGGATAGAGCAGTGTTCAGAGCTGTTGTACACAGGGTCATAACAACAACAAACAGGATATAGCGTAGTTTTGACCTGTTTTTTTAATAGGATTGCTGTGAATTCTTGTCAGCTCAATGGCATCTTGAAAACAGTTGTGCTGATGGTTGCCTGAATGCAGAATATACTTTTGTACTCTTTGTTCTGTGCTATTTGCTTTGTCCAAAATAACACTGAACTTTATCTCCTTTGTTTGCTGCTTTTGTATTTCTTTAAATCTAATGGGGTTCCCAATTATTTCTCTTTGGTTTCTCATCAAGAAAGAATGTATCATTCTCTGCTTTCTAGTGCTTCTGTACAATGCTTATGAATCTGTAAGTACTGTTATCATGCTGTTAAAATGCCTATTTGTCCTAAGATGCACAATTTTGAACACTTTACCATTTCTGAAGTTCAGATGTATCTTATGAATGATGTATGACTGTGATTTCATGGCGTTTTCTTCTTTCCACCTTTATTTTTTCCCCCTTTTATGACAAATCACACTTTTAAATAGATGGTATGTGTCTTAGTTACTTACTTCTTTGAAGCAAATCTTTATCTTATCTAACTTATTTCAGTTCTTGTATTTCAAGCCCTTTTGGATGAGTTTCTAATCATATTTCAGACTTTCAATTTGAAGATGATATTATAGTGTTTTCTAGACCCACGTGTTTCATGTTAAGCCCTAAGTCAATTAAAATTGTTCTGTTTTATAGGTTCAAATAGTTCTTGTCAGTATTTGTAAGAATTAGTAAGGTGGTGATCATACACTTTCATTGTCTTATCAATATCACTGGATTTATGTTGTAAAAAATAATATGTTTAAGCATGCAAATGTCAGTAACTTTATTTAAGCTTAGTTGAAAATTTCCTTGCTGTGGTTTTGCCACTTTAGAATGGTGAAGAAAAGTAGGAATATGAAGAATGTTAAAGAGAAAAGATGGTAGAATTTGTCAGAAATAAATTGTACTAGAAATTAGATTGTACTTTGTTTGTATTACAGTGGAATGATATTGGAATGCACAGTAATGTTTATATTTTCAAAAGTATGTGAGAAATGAAACAGTAGATGAAAAAAAAATCCAAGAAATCTTTTGAGTGACAGTATCAAAATGTGAAACAGGTTAGCTGGAATACAAAAACACCAAGGCTCAGAGCCATTCGAAAGTACATTCTTCTGTGGATCAAGAATTGTCCTGTAGACTTACATTTTCTCTTTTTTAGGAGTTGAGCGAGGAAAACAGGATCTGGAGAAGCAGATGTCAGATTTGAGAGTGCAGCTGAACTTGAATGCAATGGCATCCGAGTTAGAAGAAGTGAAGCGATGCATGGAGCAAAAAGACAGGGAGAAAGCTCACTTGGCAGCTCAAGTAGAGGTGACTTTACTCTTTGAAACCATATTGTCAGGCCTTTAGCTTTGTTTCATGGAAGTACTTAAGGACATTTTAACACGTAGATTATGTTATTTTATGAGCTTGTTTGGGTAAAAGATAATGTGAAATGATATAGATTATTAATTTACATATATAAATTCCTATAGATTTGTTTCTTTTTCATTTGGTCTGTTTCCGCAAGACACCTGAACTCTTTTTCTCTTACTTAGTAAAGAAGTATTTTACGTTATTAGACTTGAAATTGTCCCTGTTTCAGTGGTACTTTGCCACATTTTTCCCAGTAGGAACCACATTTCTTCTCAAAAGATATGCAGAAAGTTTTAATTTGTTTTGATAGTGAAGCTAGAAAATGGAGAAGATCTCACTAATATTTCTCCTTTGGAATGAAAAAGGTTTTGAATTCTCTAGCTGTTCTGCAAGAATGATATGCCTCCATTGATTTCAAGATTTCTACTAATCACCAGGCACATGATAGTCATCAGGAAAGGGTAACTAGGCAGCTATCGGATTTCTGCCCGTGCATTATCTAGCATAGACTGGATAATTACCAGAAAGAATTAAAAACAAAGGAAAGGACTTCGCCACAAGAAAGCGCATCATTTCAATTTTAATTATGCAAATTAGGTAAAATATAGAGGACACATTTGGAGTAGATATGCATCTCCTTTCCTCCTCTGTATCTGCTTTTATTAATTAAGCTGTGTTCGAATTTTAAGAGATTTAAATATTTGAAGGTTTTCTGAATTATATTAAAAGGGAGAAAATTGCTGTTAAAAGTACCTAACTTTAAGTAACATGAAGAAAATATTTACTCCAGTCTGGGTTTTTCTTTCATCTTATCAAAGTGTCAATGGAAAATGCCTTTAGATTTAGGTCATGATTCACATTGTAAGGATAGCAAAATACTGACATGCTCTGTACACATCCTTTGCCGTATATCCACTTCCTAAACAACATGCCTCTGGAAACGCTATGAACTTTGAGAAATGACGATAAGTTATAGACAGGCTTCAGGTCTTTTGTTCATAGGGTCGCTATGAATTGTGCTCAACTCGATTCAGATCAGCAACCACCACCACCACCACCACCACCACCACCATAAACAAGGGAGTCCTGGTGGCCTAATTGTGAGCATCTGTGCTGTACTCCCAAAAGCATGTGGTTCGAATCTAACAGCTGCTCTATGGGAGAAGGATGGGCAGTCTTCTTTTGTGTGATTAATTGCCTCTGAAAACTTACTGGAGGGTCAGTCAGCTATGTGTCAGTTCTGACTCAGTGGCATGCAACACCATCACCAACAACCATAAACCATAGGAACTCTGGTGGCTTAGTGGTAAGTAGCTGTTCTGCAATCCCAAAGGCCTGTGGTTCAAATCTACCAGCTGCTCCATGGGAGAAAGACAGGCAGTTTCTTCTCATATGATAATTTACCTCTGAAAATTCACCAGAGTCAACTGTGGGTAGGTTCCAACTCAATTATACAAACAATGACAATGACAACAGCTATAATCATTCTCAAAGCAATGGTAGTTGTATAACTTGTAAAGAGTGCTTATCGGTGTTATGTTCGCCTTGGATCCTGTTTTTTTAAAGAAAAAACTGTCTAATATCTTTTAACACGTTGCCACAAATGACAGTAATACATGGGGGGGGGGGGAAGTGTTTCTAAGCACGGTCGTCAGTTTAAAAGTATGCGGCAATGTGTTAAAGGTAGAAAGATCTCTTTGGTCCCTGTTTATAGCTTATGTTGGTTTTCTCACCTTTCATTCCCCCTCCCTCCTTCTGCTTGTGCAATACATTGGAAAGTATCTCCAGGACCTTGAACTGTGCCAGAATATACTAGACAATCAGTATATATTTATCGTATGAGGAAATATTCTACCTCATTCAGTTTACACACAAAAAGCCACATACTCAATCCAGAAGAACCCAAGAAAAATACAGACTCTTCCATTCACCCGGTGCATAAAAGGTGGGTAGGTTACAATGAAAGGAAAATCCAGGCCTCTTGAATAAGTCAACTAGAAACAATTTAGAAGTGCATTAAGCATTTCAAATTTATTTTTCAGATACTAGGAAAGTTAGTGGGTTAGCAAAATCAAGGAAGACCCAGGTGAGATGGATTGGCAGAATAGCATTTGCACATTTGACCCTATCATTAGTGCTTTTTTGGAACCTTTCCTCTAATCTTTTAAAATACTTTAAGTATATTTCTTCATAATTTTAAAAAGAAGAATCTATAGGATAAGCTCCTCTGTCCCAAAGTCAGAGCCTCTCTTGACAGATCCTTACTGTAAAGAAGTTTCAGGTTCTTATCTTCACATTTGGAAATTAGAGTTTTCTGTGTTCTGGAGTTCATATGACTCAGGACACTGGCTCACATAAATAATGAACTGCCTAAGAGAGCAGTGTATAGATTGCGAAGGCATTTCTTTATCTTCCAGGAGACCCATACAAATGTGCAAATGCTATTCTGCAATGTAGTGCACCAATCTTCCAATATTCTGTAGTTGAAATCTAAATTAGTAATGAAAGATTGCTTGTTGATCATAGAAGCAGAGAATAATTATGTTTAAAGATTATTTACTGATGATTCTGAGAAGGTCTTCCTCTCTACCCTTAAATAAGAAACATTAAGTAGAGACCCTATTTATTTCAGCCAGATTCTCTGTCTTTATTTTTCGTTTGTGTTGAACTAACATCTCTTGTATTTCTAGAAATCTTTTCTTCTGCAACCATCCTGATGATCAGTCTTCTCTTTGCCTTTTATTTCAGTATGTTGCTGTGCACAGGTTTTGCTTTTGGCCATTTTCCAGCATGAATTAAAGTTCTTTGAACATGTAGCATTCTGTGAGCCACTTATGACTTAAAGATTTATGTTCTCTTGTAAATCATAAAGTGGTACATGTCAACAACCCTATCTTAGGTTGTGTACTTTTTGCCCTATGCAATGTCATAATTAGTATTAATTGACTGAAATAACATTGTGAAAACTGTGTGTGTGTGTGTGTGTGTGTGAAGCTAGTGATTGTTGGATCATTTCTTACCACACTAATTTATGTAATTTATGTTGTCAATATTTGGAGAGATTTTTGCTTGCTCTGTCTCACTAAATCTATTCTTTGTTTTTTTGATCCACAATATTTATTTTAATAATTTTCTTTACACTGCAGAGAGTATAAATAACTGTTACAAAACTTACATCAAAAGCTATAGATAAAGTTGAATAATTTACCTTTTAAATTGTACCTACAACCTTCAATGAGTAGATGCACAGCAAATTCCAAGTGCATTTTGCCCTTCTAAAAGCAAGCTGAACCTCATTAACCTTCATAGGCTATTTGTATTCATAAGTATTCCAAGCATCCTTGATCAATGAATGAATCTCCTTGATTTAATCTCTGCCTCTATTTCCCATCAACTTACTCTTCTTGGGGAGGGTGTGTGTGTATGGAAGAAAGACTTTTAAATTCAGTGAAGCACTTCAAAGAAAGAAAGGGAGAAAAGCCCATCATTTAGATTAAATATTGAAAGTGATAATTGAGTGACAACTGACTTGATTATTCATTGGCTGAGTTGGGATTGTAATGCTGGAATTTACTTAAGGGGAAAAAAAGCCAGTTTGTTGTTGTTAGGAGCCTTCCAGTTGGTTTTGACTTCTACTTGGAGTAATACCAACACTCTGAGAAACAAATCTGGACCTGGCTAGCTCTTGTATGATCCTTATAAGCTCTGATGTATGCAGAGACATTGTTACAGTCACGGTGTAAATCCGTTTTGTTGGGGGTCTTCCTCTCCTTTTCTCACCTTTCACAGCGTGATATCTTTTCCAAGGATGGGCCCCTCCTGGCAACATGCCCAAGTGTGTGAGGTGACATCTCACCGTCCTTGCCTCTAAGGAGCACCCAGCTTGCACGTCTGCCAGTCCAGACTTGTTTACTTTCTGGCCATCCATGGAATAGTCAGGACTCTTCTCTAAAACCGCAGTTTAAAGGCGTGGATTCTTTCCCTGTCATCCTTATTCACTGTCCATCTTTCAGAGTCATGGGGGAAAAAGGTTTTTATGTAATTTTTTAATTGTGATTTTTAACAAAAGTGTACAGAAAAATTGGATTTTCATTCATTCATTGTTGCTTATTTTCCTCTCTACCCCCTAGTTCATATATATCTATATCTATACTATATTTGGAAGCAGGCATGGCATCCAATAGTTGTAGAGGGGCTGGCTTCAGGCCTTTTGTTCATAGGGTCGCTATGAGTTGTGCTTGACTCGAAGGCAATGTCTTTCTTTATCTTTATATATATATATTCATTCATTCATTATTGCATAAAGGAAGCAATTAAAAAAAAAACACACCAAAGCATGACTTTGATTTGGCACACCTTTGTCTTTAACCTGACATCTTGTTAGCACGTTATGGAGGTCCTCCTTGACTGTGGATTTTCTCAGTGCAACATGTCTTTTTATTTCTTGACTGCCATAGCCCTGAGTGTTGATTGTGGGTTCAAGTACAATAAAATTATTGACAACTTCAGTCTTTTTTACATCTGTCATGGTGTTGTCTATTGGCCTAGTGGCGAAAATAGAATTGATAACCAATCAGAAATGTATTTTATTGGTTAAAGAATAAAAATATTCTTTAACCATGTTCCTAGCATAAGCATTTTTTATTTTGTGCATTTCTTCTAAAAAAATTGTCTACAGTTTCTACAATCTAACAATCTTTTTGTAGGAAAGGATTAAACACACTTTTGAGATCTTATCTCTTAGAGACTGGCTGTAGTTTTTTCTTTTTCTTAATTTTTATCTTAATAATTTAATGTTGTTGTATACTGTAGAGTTGGAACCAACCCATAGTTGACCCTCTGGTGGGTTTTCAGAGGCAGTTAATCACACAGGAGGAGATTGTCCCAACCTTCTCTTGTAGAACAGCTGATGTCCTCTAACCCTGTGGATTCAGAATTGCAGTGCAATTTCTTGT